GCCCATTCACGGATGACATGGGGGTCCAGTTGAGAGTCTTGGCTGAGAGCGAGGTCCGCGAAGTATAGCATCTTGGCAATGGGGCCGAGCAAGTCCAGCACTTTGTCCTGTGCCGCTTTCATGCCCTTTTCCGCCCCTTTGCGTGGGTCCCTGCCCGTGCGTGACATGAAGACCACCATAGTGTCGTCGAATTCGGGCGTCAGCGCCACCTTGTCGGGAATTAGCGGCCTGGGACATTCAGTCCTGAGGCGTGCCCGTACCTCCTTCTCCAGCGGTTTGCGCAGCCAGTAATGTATGAACTTCGCCAGGTGATCTGGCAGTGTCCATTCCGAGGACCGTGGGTGTCGGATGGTGCGCGGGTCGAACAGCGGTGTCCCTTGGTCGTCCAAGAAGACCCCGTCTTCAGACTGGCCGGTGTGGAGGTCGTCATCGAGTTCCTTGGCCCGGTTGCCGAGAAAGGTCTCCTTGACATACTTTGAAGAGGTGGGGGGGAGGTCTTGCCATTCTTCGTCGTCTGAGGGCGAGCCGTCCCCGTGCCACTCGTCCACCACATCCAGTGCCTGTGGCATATAGGCCTCGTCCTCGTCCGAGGATTGAGGCGGGAAGGACGTGGGTTGTCGGTCCGCGTTCCTAATGCGCTTGACGGGCAACTTGCCCCTAGTCTTGGTGGAGGGAGGACTCGAAACCTTCCTCTGTCTCTTGGCCTTTGACACCTCAGAGCCTGAAGCTTCTATGCGTTCAGGGGGGTTTGTGTCATCTTGGCCGTGGGGTAGCGCCCGTAAGAGGGCCTTTTCTACTGAAGCCGCCACGGCGGCGTTGATCATGGTTTGGAAGTCTTGGGTGCTTTGAATATCTTCCATGATCTGGGGCTTGTATCGACCTGTTGGGCGAAAACAAGGTTCAGTGGAGGAGAGCCACGTACAGATATAGATTGACTCTGCGTATGTTTAAAAGGCTCTATATGCACGTAATATATGATTCAGGGCAATATGCGTATCTCAGTACCTAGGAGGTATTGGCCCTTGTGCATATCAACGGGGTTCGCCCCGGGTGGTGTGCCGTGGCAATCAGAGGACACCCACATCAATTAAATTGGGTCGTCAGCGCCCTTGCATGCGTATCTGGGGGGTCACCCCAGGTGGTGTGCCATGAAAAAATACCCAGAGGACACCCACATAAATTTGCACCCTTAGGTACAGTCGTGTGATATGACCCTGTGTAGGGTAATTAATATAGCATACCCCTGAGGGTAAAGTAATGTCAGATCCCCTGTGGGGTATGAATGTATATGTCCCAGCAAGGGACAGTGAGTCAATCTGTACAATTGATAAAGAGCCTTTAATAGTCAACTTCATAATACATTTCCTGTGCATGCAATTTCTCTGCCTCACTGAGGCATAAATACAGTGTAGGAAAAAGCACACCCTTGAAGGGTGTAGGTGTAGCATAAAAAATATGGTGGGCACTTGTGAGCAGCTGGGGGTCACCCTGAGGGCACTCCCCGGTATCGTGGCGGCGATCGGGTGAATCCCGAAACGCCGTGAATGAAGGTGAGGCGGCCGTCGCGGATCTCGCGAGCCGCGAGATCCAAGATGGCCGCCGGCCGCGTGGATAGAGGTGTCTCGCTCGCGGCCGCGAGCGAGGTGGAGACAAACGCGGCAAACTAAAAATAAAAACCCCGGCTACCCTCCACCCGTCCCCAACAGCCCCTGTGTGTGGAGAAAAAAGCGGGTCCGCGTGGTGAGCGTGGCACCGACGGCCGCGCCGCCCGCGGACCGCCGAAAGAGAAATAAGGTGGAAAAATAACACAGCAGAACAGAGACACAGAGGGGAAATACTAAAGAGTAGGGGGGACAGTATAGGCAGTCAGGGGTAAAAGTAGTACAATAAAAACACAATAAAAAATACAGCAATACATAAGGTATACTAGAGGTAAAATTACTCTGACCTGTATATGGCTGGAGCAGCAAAGAAAGAGGAAGTGATGTCATAGACAGGGCCCTTTATGGGCATCATATCTTTTTTCTGATTGGTTGTTACTGTTTCTATGCTGCTGGAGTTTTCAGTAAAGAAAGATATGCAAATATGAAGCCTCCTGTCATGTGGTAAAATTTAGATTGAATTGTTCTAATCTGTTTGTTTTTGTTCACTGTAGAATGTTAGTTTATTTTATTTATACCATGTGGACTTAACCCCTTAAGGACAGAGGCCATTGTACATGTTCTGGTCAAAACAAAATGTAAACAGAATGTGGAATATGACTATATGACTGTAGATTTCTCAGGTCTCTCACACTGCCATGGACTTGTCACCAAATTTATGCTTTCTGCTTATCGCCCTCAGATCTGAGAAAAGACCTGTTAGAAATAACACACAGGGCAACACAATTTATTTCAATCAAGCATTTCATACTTTCCATCACAACAAAGGGGATATATAGATTATTAGTCTTAAAATGGGGTGCTGCTGGGGGGGTGGAGGGTGGCAAATACATGCAGTAAAAAAAAATCCCAATTTTTTGTTACCTCGATTAGGTGCTTTTAATAAAACTTATAAAATCTGTCAGCACCAAAGTAGCTGTTTAGTGGATAGGGTGTGCTCTGGTTTTTCATTGTTGTGCCATTATGCGTGACTGCCATCAGTCATTTCATATGCACTCAGTGATAGAGTGGAAGTATTCAGGCAGACGCTCAGCTCACAATATTGCCCACAGGAGTGAGGATTTCTCTTACTGCCCTTTGGAGTAGTGCCCATTGTGGCATATAGGGATATGTTTATTTATTTATTTTTTGTAGAGATTGTGTTAAAAGTCTGCAGCTGAAAACAAGTAGCTCTCATATTTTTTGTTGGTTACATTTATGTACGTATACTTTTTTCTGCTTACTATCTGTAGAAATCAGTAATATATATATATATAAAAATTATTTCTAAGAGCTGTTAAAACAGCATACTTTGCAGTCTGGTAGTGAAATCTGTACTAAAGTGTTTTTTACATTCCAAGACTGACTCAAAATTCTGCTTATGGTTAAGTTCTAAGTGCTTTTTAAACATCCTTTGCAGTCACGTAGTGAGATCTGTTTTAAAGTGTGATAATATTTTTTTCTCAAAGACTGACTCAAAATCCTGCTTACATTAAGTTCAGCATCCATTGCAGTCAGGTAGTGAAATCTTTTTTTTTTTTTTTTAGATTAGAGAAGTGTTTTGTTTATTTTACCATCCAACAACCATGAATTTGGACAACTGGCTAAAACATGGAACTTTCAAGAGAAAAATCATTACTACTTCTAACTGTTTGTCACTTATAGAAACTGAAAAAAAGATACAAAAAGAAAACAGGTCTGAAATTGTAGCCCATGGAACAACGCAGCAGGGGAATGGGCCTTGACAGGGTCAGGAATTAGGCACGGGGAAGAGTTAAGTGGGAAGGTTAATGGAGGGGGCAGGGTTTTAGGCCATCTTGAGTAGTCGCCATCTTAATCAAATCTGCACTTACCTGTTGCCTTGTGTGGGTTTTCGGTTTGTTTTCCAGATGGATTAGACTGAAGAGTTCCTGGCTGGAGTTCATGCTGTCGTGAGAGATCGTGGTTTCGCATGGCTGCAGGAGAGGATTGGGGGAGTAGAGCCGTCCACGGCCGCCATGAAGGTTCCAGGGTGCCAGCCTGCGCAGAGGAGTAGGCCTCCACAACAACTGAGCCCCAGTGAGGTGCCGGCTCATCGCCACATGAGGAGCCCATGTATGGCTGCCGGGGGGCCGTAGAGCCAGGGAGTGGACCAGAAGGTTCAAGTCCGGCGCAACGGCCTGCAGCAGGAGATCCTCCCTCTGCAGGCCAGGAGCAGGTGTTCACATGGCCGCATTTTGCAGCCAGGAGATCACCTGCCATCAGACGGCTGGCAGGCACAAGACTCAATGGAGGCTCCTTGGTACCTGGGAGAGCCACCTGGAATGAAGACACAGCTGGAGGCGCCTCCCATGTTCCCAGTAAGTTGGGCCCAGGCACCATGGGCAGGCAGGGATGTATCCTGGGCTCAAGGGACAGCGGGCTAGGGCCATTACTTCACAGGGAGGGAGGAGATCTGCAGGAGCCGGCCCCTATTGCTGGGGTGTCAGGCTGTGAACTGCGGCTACTGGCTCTGTGCTAGGCGGTCAGGTTAGTAAGGAGGCTGCTGGCACAGGGAAGGGCCTTGTGTATGCCAGGAGGGGACTGATAGCTAGGTCACGGATACGGCTCAGCTAGGGTCAGCGTTGCGCAACTCTGAGCGGCAACAGCGCGCTAAGCTGTCAGCGGAGGGGAACAGTGGGTATGTGGCTACACGAGAGGGCCAGAGGGGGTGCTGTCAGGCGAGGTGTAGTGCATACTGGGACGAGGAGAGAGGAGCGTCACGTGAACAGGCACAGGTGCCACGGTGATAGGTGATCCACTACTGAGCGGGGATAGAAGCCCTGCTGCTAGGCATCACAGCAGGGGGCGAGCAGCGTCCCCAGGCAGGAGGTGCAGTTATTGGCGCAGAGCTTCTAGGTACTCTAGCTGAAGCTCACCACCTAGGTAGGTGATGCAGGGCGGCCATTTGGGCTAGTTTGGTAGATGCCACAGCAGGGCTTCATGACGGGAGAGCAGGGAAGAGGGGCTGGTGAGGTCACTGGTTAACATTTTACCCTGGCTATCTTCTACCTGCACATCTGCAAGCCGCTCTCCCACGGTCCTGTGGCGGGACCAGGCTGAGGAACAATTGCATGGCAACGAAGCTCCGGTCCCTCATCTAGTTGATGGCCGGGTGTTCTGGTGGTGAATCCTAATCATAATTTTTGGGCACTTGGAGCTCGGGGGGGTGGCAGGGGTCACATTTCAGTAGCGTGAGGGTTCCTCCAATGGGGGACACCGGGGCATGGGTTGCAGGCACAACTATTGGTGATGGCTAAGGTGGGGCTGGGGGGGAACTCACTGGTATCTGTAACCTCGGGGGTAGTCGGCAAGAAGGCTGAGTTAACAGGGGAAATCCCAGATGTGGTGCGACAGAAAGCGTGTTTGGGGAGAAATCTCCTGACGGTTGTTCCCAGCTATTGTGCTATCTAGATGGGATCTGAGAAGCCTACCGGACTTACTGTGGCTTGATATGGTGACAGGGAATCCCGGATGTGGTGCGACAGCAAGCGTGTTTTTGGAGAAATCTCCTGACCGTTGTTCCCAGCTATTCTGCTATCTAGATGGGATCTGAGAAGCCTACCGGACTTACTGTGGCTTGACATGGTGGCGGTATGACGAGCAATTCCGGGCAGCGCTTGCCCGCCAATCCGGGTATGTGATGGGACCAGATGGACCTGCCGCTCTGGATGAAATCGATGATGGTGCAGAAGGGTGCACCCTTGCATGGTTGCCTCTTCGTCGGCCAGTCAGAAGAAAGGCTTGTACTGGCTCTTTAATGAGAGCCAATGTAAATGGGGGGACTCATGCAGATTTAAGCATGAATGCTCTGGTTGCGGGGGGCTTATGGGATCACCATATGCTTTAAGTGGGGTAAGTCTTCCACTGCCAACAGCACAAGCTGGGCCGTTTAGTACCTTCTTGGAGTGGGTAGTGAAGGAAGAGATGCCTCTGGTAGTTTTGGGTTTGGAGCATATTTTGCGGGTTGGTGGTGTGCGGAGGGTGGCCGGATGCCTGGAAAGAAAACCCTATCATGCAGAACGTTTTTTTGAGTTATTCCCGTTGGTGGTTGCCATAACTCTTTTTGGGGGACTGTTCTTTGGGACAGAAGGGTTGTCTTTTTCATGCATAACATGGTGCAGGCTGTCAATAACTTGACTGCCTCTTTGGTTCTGTTGGTGCGCTTGCTCAGGCATTTCGTATTGTTTTGCATGTCATGTAATATTGTTTTCCAGGCTGTTCAGGTGCCTGGGCTGTTGAATGTGGTGGCTGATTCCTTGTTTCCAAATGCAGAAAAAGACCTGTGCTCAAACTCCCATTGTTGTGGGCGAATGTAAATATTACAAGCTTTGGAATGAAATGTTGTATATCTTAAACTGTGTACTTTGTCTTTAAGAGATATTGCAAACTGACAAGGTGTTAGAAATGGAACATATTGTTTTTTTATAGATGTTTCTTTAAGCAATAACCTCAGTGCATAATATGTTTGCGCCATTTTGTCCCAGACGAATTACAATAACAATAATGCATAAACAAGCTTCAAGGCTAGAAAGTAGTAGGCAGTACCGGTGTAACGCTTATGTGCAGAATTGAATATGAAAGTTTACCCAATTTTTCCTTCTATGTTAATCAATTATTTTTTGTTAACCTTAAGGTAAAACAGAGAAAAATACATAACATAGTGCAGATTGTATGTAAATTGGTGAGAATAAATTTAAAGTATGGGCCAAATGGCAACTCACAATTTTCTGAGCTATAAATCTAGCTCAGAATTAGGCGCTTTAGGATCCGTATAGGTGACCCTCTCCCTTCTTCTCCTTTCTTTAATCCAGTCCTGTCACGGTGTCTCCTGCGGCCCCCGAGTGACGCTCCTCAGACAGTGCTATGCAGCCCTTATCAGTCACCTGATAAAAAACCTTAGAAAACTGAAAACGGGTTAAGGATGTTCAGACTTCAAGATGCCATCTTGAACTAAGTCAGGAAAATTTCCATGACGTACACACCCTTTAGTTATGAACTTGTATTTTTGCCAAGTTAAGGGAGGTCCTAAATTGAATAAAGTAAAAGAAGTGTTACTTTTTAATATATGAACTACAGTAACCCTAAAATGGAGACACCTAAGGTATAAATAGGTGTACTTTTAAATGTTAAGACACAGAGGAGAGACTTTGAGACAGACGCTGCTCCATCTTAAAATGACAGAGAGGCTGACATGATGACATGTTCAGAAGGGTATGTTAACCTATTAATGATATTTGCAAGCATTTAGTTTAATCTTATAAACTCTGCTATAAATTATTGCAATGGATTTTATATGTCTATATTTATATTTTTATATAATAAAATATCAAAAAGACAAAACTGTATTGCTTCCAAGACAATCCTTATTTTATATTGTATTTTCAATTATTTATATATGTTAAATGGAGGATCTCTTACTAACTATATGAAATTATGGCTAAGATATCTGTATGGTTAGCCCTACTAAGTTCTATGCTCTAAGACGTTATAATGGTAAATAAGGGAACCAGCCGCGGTTACACCATTACTGGTTTGAGCAGAGGACTTTTTTTTTTTTGTCTTTGGATTCACTTTTGTAACACACAGCTATGTTACAATACTGCCGCCCATCCCATGTGTTCCCTATTAAGGGTTAAGAAGCATGTAGGGGTGGATATAAAAAATACCCCTCTGTCCTATTAACCCCCAAGAATAATCTCATTCCTCCATAAGAGTGCCCTTACCACGCCTAGGAATAAGTATTCAGAAATGTATACGGAAGAATACCCTATCCCCCACCCCTTTTATTTCTGTACCCCACCCCAAACCTTAGACCAAATTAATAGAAGCTAACAAGAATGCAGAAAATGTCTATTCAGATGTAACACGTATTGAAATCATTGATGTAACACGTATTGAAATTGAAAACAATTGGCATGTTTGCCCAAAATGTTGGACCTCTTTACTATACTCCTGTATGTTATGTTAAACTTTTACCATAAACACACCCTTTTTCTTCTTTCTTTACCCACGCCCCACAAAACAAAACTTTCAAAATAAAGAATTTTGAAAAAAATTAAATACCCCTCTGTCTCATTAGAGATATATTTGCCAGAAGCTCAAGGAAGCAAGGTGAATGGTTAGTGTAGGACCCAACTGAGAGGTTTGCTTTGACATGGCAGACGGGCATTCCCTCCAATGGCCATGAGAGTAATTAAATAACCTCCATTTGTTTAAATATACATAGGGATTTGGGAGAGAGCGCAGGTAACTTTTTTTGCTTTGATTCCTTGTCTTGTTTACAGTGGGAGCGCTTTCGATCAGTGGCGCCAGGGGCGCAGGAGGAAGCCCATGCCTGTCTGGAAGAGATGTGGCGGCTCGGGACATCCTGCTTGGAGGGTGCATAAGGAACTCGCTGGCTCCAGACACGTGGGCATCGTGCAACAAGATGAGTGGGACAAGGCTGCAGGTTGCACAGGGGTAGGGCAGTCGCAAGTGGGTCGCATGGACACACTCTTGTAGTTTCTATGCTGCTTATTCACACGACGGGCATCCCCATCCACGATCGTTCGGAATATGGCGGCACTGACTTTCCTGTTTAAGTTGCAGGGTTTGGAGGACTTAACCAAGCACTTCATAGATCGGCACGCGTTGTGGGGGTTTAGAAAGGGTAGGGTGTCATGGGACACGAGGAGGCCGCTGTCCTTTAAGGTCCTGCAAAGGTTGGTGGCAGTTCTCCCCAAAAAAATTTTTTCACGATAAGAAGAGGTGTTGTTCTCGGTGGCTTTTGTGTGGGCATTCTTCAGGGCATTTCAGATTGGCGAACTGGTGAGTGTTAACAAACTCTGAGTCGGGGAAATTCAATGGTCAGATGTTGTGGATGTGGGGTCAGACAGGGTGTTGCTTCGGCGCTCCAAGACCAATGTATTCGGGAAGGGCTGCTTACCCTGGGCTCGGGTACCCGGTGTCATGTATATATACATATATCGACTTTTGCCCAAGGGTTGAGGATGGGTCCACCCTGTCCCGTTTTCAGTTTTCTAAGGTTTTTTGGCTAGGTCTACAAAAGTTAGTTTTGGAACCCAGGCAGTTAGGGACCCACTCATTCAGGATTCGGGCGACAAAAAAAGCCTCTTACTTAGGGCTCGGGATGGTTTGGTCAAATGGATTGGTAGGTGGGAATCCATTTGGTTTAAATAATATGTGCGGCCTAATTGGCTGGGTTAAGATGGGGTATGGGGGAATCTGTTATGTTACTTTTGTTTTCATTTTAGGTTGTGTGGCCTGGTTGGTGGGCCACTCTTACGTTTACTTGGCACAGAAGAGAGCCACAATTCAGACATGTGGAATGCAGCTGGGTTTTCCTCTGGAGCAAGTTTCACTAATGTGGTTTGGTTTTCGAGGTTTCAGTTGGCAAGGTGTCAGTGGCGAAATCTTTCGGAAGTTAATGAGGGGAGTGGCCCCAGATATATTGATACATGCAGGGGGTAATGACATAGGTCTGGTCCCTTAGAGAGTCTTGGTACAAGGGATGAAGAGGGATTTTGACCGGCTACACGAGCTGGTCTCAGATATGATAGTGTTGTCTGAAATGGTTCTGCGTTTTCACTGGAGGTATGCTAGGAACCCAGACACTGTAGGCCAGTGTCAGGGGACAATGGCAATTTTTTCAGGAGAATAGAGGGTAAAGCGGTGAGACATCTGGATTTGGAAGGTATGCTTCCTGGGTACTTTGGGCGGGATGGGGTCCATCTATCAGAAGTGGGGTATGACCAGGGCCGGCACTAAGGCAAATTAATAATTCGCCTGGGGCGCTGACCTGCAGGGGGCACCCACCGGGAGGTTTCTGGGTGGGCAGCGGGCTGGATAGCCACCCCCCAGTGCAGCCATATCCTGTGGTCCCAATCATCTGCTCAGGGAGAGGGGGTCTGTTGAATCCCCAGCACCCAAGCAAAGCACTCTGCTTTCTGTAGGCAGGGGAAGCCGGGATGTAACCTGGTATCCTGGCTGTCCCTTGCCTGTAAATGTGTACTGGATGTATATGTGTACTGGATGCGTGTTCACAGGAAGCACTGTGGAGGGAGCAGGATGTAGCCTGTGCTCACAGTGCATGGCTCTCCTGCTCCCCCAGGAACAAGAACAGATACCTGCAGGCTGAAAGATGGTCCCCTTCTCCTCCAGTCACATCACTAGCACAGGTATGGCAAAACTGGAGGATAAGGGGAGATGGTTATTATTGTGTGTATGTTTGAAAATTGGTGTGTTAAGTTTGTTTGTGGGTGTGTGTTTTAATAAACTGACTATATGTAAACTGGTGTGAGTGACATTGTGTGTGTGTGTGTATTTCAGTGAGAGTGTGTGTGTTAGTGAGAATGTGTAAGTGACATTGTGTTTGCGTGTATGTGTGTGTATGTCAGTAAGAGTGTGTGCAGGGCCGCCATCAGAAATTGTGGGGCCCCTAACACAGCTCAAGGTCTGGGCCCCCGGGTGCCCACCTCCAAGCCCCGCCTCCAAATCCTGCCCACAGGAATACACACACACAGACACAAAAGGACACACACAC